TGTTTTATGTTTGTGTTCCACTAACAGACGCCACGGTGATCCATGTACAGCATCTTGATTACCTAAAGGTTGTATATATGGTTATTCGATTTCATGTTTTAGCGTAACTTAGTTGACGAATAAATTACGCATTTGTTCTTGCATAACTAAAGGACCTTCCTTGTGGTAAATCATTTCGTTATGTTAAAATAATGCTCTCCATATGTATCGCTTTAAAAGTTTAGTTAAAACATCACCTGCTGTGCACAAAACCCAGATAAAAAGGAAATTGAAAGCTGTTGGTATCTTGTAGTAATCGTTCGTCTGCGTGAATCTTGTCAGAATCCTGAATGTCGACTGAACGTGGAGGGATTTGCTTTTCCTGAGCAATTCATCATCAGTGATCAACAAAACGTAAACAGTACATGATAAGACCATGAAAATCGAAGCGTACTTTGTTTCCACATTATTTAAACAGTAAACTAGATTCTGCTCAGGTTCGAACCCTCCAGTTAATCAACAGAATCACCATTCAGTTAGCTTTATTCATATTTTTCTTTCTATATGATATGATATAAATTAGTGATGGTACTATATAATAATGCGATGTTGCGTGTGAATGCAAATGGATAAACCTAAATGATATTTAAAACCAAAAAATGTATTATTCCCCAAAAGTCAACAGTCCTAAAAAAACAAAAACCCTAAAATTATTATTCGGTCGACACTATGGGACTCGCAACTGGGCAATCCCATACATAAATCAAATAAGTCAAATAACCAAATCCGAATTATATTCACTTATGGCTGTGACACAAGGCAGATAAGAACGAAGGATATCTGCAACACAGAATCTTTTAATCAAAGATCTATCCGTTTTATCCTGAAAGTACGTTGCCACGACCGGATCTACGCTTGCAAGGTCTGAAAATGCTGCTTGGACAAAGGGAAGCTGTCATCTTTTTTCGAAGGCTATCTTCAATGATTCAGTCATATACTACGGCTACTAGAAAAACAATTTTCGAGAAAAAAATTGTTGCACCACTCCTCGGCACTTTTGCTTGGGAGACCAAACAAAAAGCGTGGAACAGCAACGGCAAGGCCAATATAGAAAAATTGGGTGTACAATCTATTTACAGTTGAAATCAAGTAAATCGCGACTGGATATCGGTTTGTGCTTTTCTGGCCGCGTGGATAGGTGGGTAGGATACTTGTAGGGCCAACTCGTCCTCAAGCAGCAAATATTTGCACAAGCCATATAAACGAAGCGGGATAACTGAAATATTTTCTCGAGCACCAGAAATATTTTTGTAATGCCCAGCACAGTTGTCATACAAACAATATAAGCAGCCTCCAGTCTTTCATTTTCAACCTAAACTTGTTGACTGCATGTAGCTGGCGACTAGTACCCCAGGGCGGATCGTGGTACAACTCATCATCGTCATCATATATATATATATATATATATGTGTGTGTGTGTGGCGGAACCTGGAGAGCCGTAAGAAACCGAGTTCCCTCTGGCTATCTCAAAATTCTTGACGGGCATCGATTTACCCTAGTGGATATCGACTATCATAAACAGCGTCTCTCTTTGAGGTACAAACACTCACAAAGACTTTCAGAAATCACCAAGAAGCCCAGTGGAAATTATATCTTAATAAGCTCAAGAAAACCTGATGGCTTTTCCAAATCATTCATGCAGATACTCCCAAAATAAAGTGAGTTGGCGCAAATTTGGTAAGTAAAAATAACGCCTTCACCGACAGTTGAAACGCTGATTAGAACACTTCATATTCCAGGTCAGTCAGCCTACCGCGGTTGCGTAAATCGAATAGCCTCGACCATCCGCAGTTGGAACATTGCCAGAAAATAAACTATAAACTGTCGTCGCGTTTTTGGACATTCATACGGCTTTCGACTCCATAAATAGATTTGCTTTGTAGAACTGTTTACTGATATAAAAGGTACCTGGAGGCATGTTTTGCTTCTAACAAACCTCTGCCGTTAAGCCTCCTGGAAGGTTAGGATCTAAGGTAAACCTTCTTTTCCTATCCTTACTGGTGGTTCGGTAAGATTATCCGCTTTCATTAACTTTGCCACAAATGATGTCCAGCAAAAAGCGTTAATTGACGTATTGAGTTTTTCACGTTAGCATAGTCGTATTATGCACAGATGACGCAAGACACCCTAAACCGTTTATCAGTTGAGTTTGCTCGGTATGGAGTGTTTGTCACCCTCACTGTAGAAAGTGCGGCTGGGAGATTGGTAGAATCCTATATCCTCACTGTTTTTCTTGATTACACCCTGGAAGATGTTGAGAGCTTCTTCCACTTTGGGAGTTGCATGATGGTTGACGGAGGTGTTTTAGTTTCGGTTTTTACAACCATTAACCAAGCATTGCGCGGTTGCTTACTTAAGGCTGTCCATTTTCATAAGAGCAGAACGAAGGTTGCAATGGTGCAGCAGAGTTAGGAAGAGGATCTAAAATTCATAAAAACTAAAGTTGTAGGGATGAGTAAATGCACGAGCGCCGCTGTTTGCAACAGAACCATACCACTCAGTGTCTCTAAAAGCCGATTAGAATGATCCCGGGGTCCCCATTCAGGCAACCTATTGCGACCTATTTGGGCGAGTCTCTTGGTTAGGGTCTTCATGTTTTCATGTCAGATCTTCTTTGACCGTTTTTGACTTCTACCTGTTAACTAGCTATCATGGCAAACATCTCTCATTGTGGAAATCTATTTAATGGCATGCGTAACACATACC